ACAGTATGAATGTATTTAATGCTACTAAATTGCGTACTTAAAATGGATAAGATGGTAAATTTCATGTGTATTTTAACACATCAAATTCTTTTAAATGACATTAGAATTGACTACATAGGTAGATAATAAAAGCCAACTTGCCTTCATCTGTGCAACTTTCTCAAATGATTATCAAATAAAAATGAAATTTCCACACAAAAACGAGACAGTTGAGGTGTCTCTCCTATTTGACACAGATGCCCTCATTTTTTTTTGCTCTCCCTTAAACAGGAAGAACAAAAGCATTTCAAAGGAACCCTATCCTCAGTGAACCCTGGTTACAGTCCAAGACCCCTGTGGACCAGCAGTGCCTTCTCCTGCTTGTCCCTCCAGCTCGTGCTCTGGGCATCTCTGTTCTTTGTCACTCTGTGGACTTGAGCCAGTGAGGATTGGAAGGGAGAGGACCAAGTACAAAAAGAACAACTAGGAGGGTTAACAGCCTCTCCTAGGCATTTGCGTGAAAAGCAATGGCAGATCCACGTGGCCTGTATTGGGGCAGATGCCCTGGGGAGCGACTCCTTCATCTCACAGATGCTGAGGGTGGGAATGGCAGCAGCCATGCACTGCCTGAGTTTAGAGAGGACTGCTGGGGGTGCGTGTGTAGGTGCCACGTTACCACCTAGAACACACTGTCTCACGCTGTGAGCCAGGGCTTGTTAGGCACACAGTGATGCAGTTCCTGCTGGAATTCTGGAGGCAGAGGCTACACCTGAGCAGCTCCTACCAGCTCAGTGGCATTGAGCCCATGGGATGCGGGGGGACACTGCTTTCCAAAATTGAGAGTCTGCTTCCTCTATGCAGAAACAACAGGTAGGGACAAGGAGTGGGGCTTAAGTGAAGACAAAAGCAGCAATTCTGTTGAGATAGACATGGGTGCAGGGAGGTTGAGAGCAGGGTGGATGCTGGTGTCAGCCATCAGAAGGCCCCAATGGCTGGTGCTGGTTAGTCATGTATGCAGGTCCTTATTTTTCCTCCTACCTGTTGCTAATCCCTTGGCTTTGTCATTGGGTAGCATTCGATATTGCACTAGATAGGGACTAAAGGGAGGTGAGTGGTGTCCATCACGTGCACACATCATAATGAAGAGAGGGAGATTAAAAAGCCAAGTTTCATAAGCCAAGCTCACTTCTGACTTTTTTCAGAGGGCAACACCCTTTCCTTTTGATAATTCTGAAGATAAGCAGAACAGACTAGGTTTCATAGTCCATTTATCTACTAGGTTAGGCCTTCTCAATGAAAAGAAAAACCATTACAAGGCATTGCTAGAGAAAATGGTCTTATCCTCTTAAAGGATAATAAGACAAATGCATTTCCAAAAGGGGAGATAAATTGAAGCTTCTCAGTGACTTCAAATCTTACGTGGAGTTCTCTCCAACATTTAAAGAAGAGTTAACAAGAAACCACCACAAACACTTCCAAAACACAGAAGAGGGAACACTTTCTAAGCTTATCCTATGAGATAGACACCAAAACCCAAGAGATCACAAGGTGGTGGGTGGCAGGTGGGGTGGGGGGGTCTTGGAACCCATCCCCTGTGGATACAGAGGGCTGGCTGTTCCAACACACCAAATCCAACAGCTATGTATAAATGGTATCATAAACCATGACTTAGTGGGCTTTGGCCCAAGAATGCAAGGTTGGTTTAAGATACAGAAATCAGTCAATGTAATAAACAGCACATTGATCTTATGAAGGCTAAAAACCACATTATCTTCTCAAGAGATGCAGAAAAAGCATTTGACAAAATCCATCACACCCTTTCATGATAAAAACAAACTAGGAATAGAAGGGAACTTCCCCAACCTGATAGAGGGTATCTATGGAAAACCCAGGGTTAACATCATAGTTAATGGTGAGACTGAAAGCTTTCCCCTAAGATGAGGAACAAGACAAGGATGTTTACCCTTGCACTGCTATTCAGTATTGTACTAGAGATTCTAACCAGCGAAGTGGGGCAAGAAAGAAGAATAAAGGACATCTAGGCTGAAAGGAAGAAGTGAAACTGTCTATTCACAGATGACATGATTTTGTACATAGCATCAGGAATCTACAAAGGTGTTAACAGAACTGATAAATCTTATATGACAGTTTGGTTCTAAAAGCAGCATTTAAGGCAAAAATTGTTCACAGATCATTAATTTTTTTTCATAAAGTAGACACAGTTTGCTGTGTACAGCCCTGTACAGGATACACACACAGTGCATACAGAGATCCTGTACATCACGCAGTAAACCATGACAGCTACAACTTGGTCTGCTCCTGAGAGGCTACTGCATGCCTTTCCAATTTGTGTGTATTCATAAATTAGGTGAGGAATGTGACTTTCTGACTCTCAAAATAGGCAAAAAGAAGTTGTAACTGGGTGTCAACAGACACCAGCCCTGAGTGAGCAGCACAGACTGGGAACAGGTCCGAGAATGACTGGAGATTCTATCTTGAGAGTGTCTGGCATTGCCTTTTGCAGGAACGATGGGTGAGTGAAACTTACTCCCTGGCTTTAGGCTCTTGGTGTCCTAAATTATCGACTTCATTGCAATGAAGGCATCAGAATGTAATTTAATCTCACAGGAGTGGCATCTCTACTTTTGGAAGGCCCCGTGAGAGAAACTGTATTCAAAAATACCATTCCAATGTGGAGATTTATGATTCCTCTTCTCATCTCTGTTTGGTGGTGTCTGATCTTCTGTAAGTGCCTCAAAATTGTCTTTATTCTGTCTTTATACCCTCCATTAACCTTTCAATCTTTCCCCAGCAATGTAAACCATCCCTGCTTACCTGCCCAGCTCCCACAACTTGTTCCTCGAACGCACCTGCAGAAGGCTGTGACTCATGCACTGGCAGTGCGGCTAGCTGTGTCCATGGCCTGTGGAAATATGCCAGCCCAGCAGAACAGCTGGAATCCTACACTATTAATATGGTTGTTTTCCAGGCAAGTACTGCGCAATTTATACAAGTTAAATGCACGTATCTGTGATTCGATAGCACAGCTGAGAACTGTTATAATGTCTAACAATTAAATGACAGTAATAGTATATGACAAATTAGGGGAAAGAACCACAACTTCAAAAGGATAGTTTCCTTCTAAGAAGAAACTAATATGAAAAAAGACTAACATCCCCCCCCGACAAAAAACAGGCAAATAACACATTAAGTAACACATTACTTTTTGGTAAGTAATTTACCAAAAACAAGAAAAGCAAATGGACAATAAATATATGGAAATATTCAAGTTCACAATTTATCATACATCAAATTCTTCACTTATTAAAACAGCACCAACAGAAAAAGAAATACCTGTGCTTCAGGGATAATGGAAACTCCACGTACTTACTCCCTTTCCTAGATTAAAACAATTTCTTTTTTCAGCTGGACGCGGTGGCTCATGCCTGTAATCCCAGTACTTTGGGAAGCTGAGGCAGGTGGATTGCTTGAGCTCAGGAGTTTGATACCAGCCTGGGCAACATGGTGAAACCCCATCTCTACTAAAAATACAAAAAAACAGCTGAGCATGGTGGTACATGTCTGTGGTCCTGACTACTTGGGAGGCTGAGGTGGGAGGATCACTTGAGCCTGGGGGACAGAGGTTGCAGTGAGCCGAGATCATACCACTGCACTCCAGCCTGGATGACAGAGCAAGACCCTGTCTCAAAAACTGCAAAAAAATTTTTTTCATAAACAATCTAGAAATATATTTAAAAGCCTTAAAATATGTTTGACTCATGATGTTTGACTCATGATGTTGACTACTGGTTTATTGTAAGGAGACGGCCACATTGTTATGTGTGATGATGCTAATCACAGTTATTGATGCTAACAGCGAGACACTCGGGAACCCCAGGATGCTGTGATGATAAAGCCTGTTCCATCTGGGTGATTCTACGGAGCTAATAAAAACCAAGTTTCCAAATAACATTTAGGATATGGTTCTGTTTCTAAAAAAGGTGGGGTGGAGGGGTTGTGAAATAACAGTGGGATACAGGACATTTATGGTTTTATGAAAAACTAACATATATTCATGGAGGCCCCAGGTATTTGCATCGCCTCAGGAGAAACTATAATTTGACAAATAAATGCATTCTTGGCCATTTGTGTCAGTTTACAGAAGTGGGGCTGAAAAATCCAGAATCTTTTTTTAGTCCTATTTATAAAAGCTATAAAAGTATAATTTTATTATGCTTAGAGGAAAAAAAAAAGTAGAAATGATTTGCTTGGGTTCCTTGACCCTATTCAAAAATGGAAATATACAACAATGCATTTCTATCCTATGCCTGCTGAGGGGATTTTTCATATTCTTTTCAGCATGCACAATAATCTTTGGGTGGTGGGATTGATTTTCTAATTTTCTAAAATGGACATGCGTTATTTTAAAAACAAAGCAATCTTTTAAGCATTTAAATATCAAAATCACTAACAACATTTCTCAGTAGGATGCAAAACTGATGGTTTGTATCAATAGATAAACATCATTTATTACTTTGTCTATTAAAGTAGTTTCAACACAACTGAAGGTCAGACTGCACTGGGCTGTTGCCATCACAGTCCGGGATTATGCACAGACCAGCCCACACCCCGAGCAGGGGTACCCTTGCCAGAACCTGTGCTGGATGCGTTAGGACCACAGAGACCACTGCCCGTTGTTGGGCTGTGTGTGCACAATTCATACCCCGATCCATAAGCCCTAAGACAAGAATGGCTATCATTGCCCTGGGTTCACTTTCTATTCAAAGAGGACTCATCTGGGCACAGCCAATGTAGTAGTTAAAATGCATTTTGAGAAAAAATAAATATTCTGTACAATGTATTTACAAGGATCAACTGTTTTGTCACCCACCCCCAATTAGTATAAAATTGGGAAACTGTAATTTGACAGTTAAGAAGCATATATTGGCTGTTAGTGTCAGGTTAACAAAGAATGTGGAGCTGACCACCTGAAACATTTTTGAACTATATATATATAATATGCAAAATTTCACATTTTAATATGCTTAGAAGAAGAGTTTAAAGTAGAAATGATTTCCTTGGCCTCTGACCTTCAATGATGAAAATGCAACCATGCACTCCCCCTGTGCAGAAGGGCAGTTCTTCCCAAGCTTTCTGGAAGCAGGGGCCTCCCCCCACCTCACAGAACACTCACTATGAGCCCTGCACAGACAGCATGATGCACAATCTCCAACAGGGATGGCAGGGGCAACTCTTAAAACTTGAAGAGGTCGATGAAGTGCTGTGGAGACACAGGCGTGAAGCAGCTGTCGGGGTCGGCCGCCGTGCAGGGGTGTCCTGAGTCCTGTGGGGAGGTGGGAGATGGTTAGGAGGGGGCCCACCACCAGCCACACTCTAGTGATGGTGGTTGGGGGGTCGTCAGCTGCTTGTTGACATGGACCCTGGGCCCCACCTCAGAGGTACACGAGAGAGAACTTGGATGAGAATGATCAACACAAGGGCAGCCGCAGCCGATTCTACGCAGAGGTTTTCCATGGAACTCCTGCTCAGGTAGGGCAGGAGACGGTGGCCCCAGGTCAGCCCTCCAGTGCCGAATCTGGTATTGAGTCAGAGGAGCCAGCTGCTGACACCACCCTGCATTGCCCGGGAATCTACAAGGCCACAGAAGAAACCACTGGGGACTTTCTGTCCTCTGGTCCCAGCCATTCCTTTGTCCTGTCCTGTTCCTGGTGCACTTTGGCGCACAGGGTTCCCTCCACCCACCATTCATCCCTCAATCAGCCTGGGCTCCCTGCACAGGACAGGAGCGTGGGGACACATGGCCTCAGCCCCTGAGGCTCCTGCTTGCTCCAAGGGAGCCGGCCATGCTCACATACCTAAGGATCCAGAATTTTATTTAATATGAGAAGTGACAAAAGAAAAATTAATTTTGTGGATGAAGGCTGGCAGAATCTTAGGAGGAACGTAGGTAGACGGGACCAGAGGCCTTGGGGTCAGTGCTGGGTCTCTCCATGGCATGCCCTGGCAGTGCTGCCAACCCAGGTGCTGTGTGAAGTGTTTATGGGCACGTCTAGCATCCTCCCTCAGCACTCAGGTGTTGTTCTGCGAAATATTTCATGAACACTCTCGTCCTTGCTGAGGTGATCAAAGTGGCCACTCAGCCCTGCTCAGGGTCCTGAGAAAGCTCAAGTCAGCGAGAGCTGGAATCGAGCTGGGCAGTGACCAGGATGACGTGCACGAGATGCAGCACAATGCAACGTTTTCATCCTGAACACGGGATGTGTGGCAAGACAGGGAAGTACCTTGAATAGTAAAGCAAGGTGGTAGTCCTTTGAGATCATGAAGAAAGAATCAGGAAGGAATGCAGTGAAGGGAGGGAAAAAAAGGAAAAGATTAGAAAGAGCCAGACTGTAAGCATTCAGGTTTGATTCATATTATTAACGAAAATAACTAAAAACATCAGGTAACTAAATTTGGACAGTACAAGGTTATTTAAAGCAAGCAAACAAGGCATCATCAGATAACCCAAATTCCCAAACTACTTGAAGACAGTCTTAAGACAACATATCTTTACCTTTAAGTCTTTCAAATTGGCAACTAATGAGGCTGCCGTGCTAAATAACCTTCAAAATTATTCACTGAAAAAGAGATGCTATTTCCATGTGCAGTTTATATTAAAATTTTGTAAGTTTTTTGGGGGAAAGTTCTGTTATTTAATGTCCAAAGGGTCTGCTCTGTGCTAAATAAGGCACATTAAGTCAATTCCACACTTTAAGCCAGCCCCCACCTCTGACACTTGTTTCTTCAGACCAGTGGGTGTCACTTTCCAACACAAACCCAAGCCTCAGCTGCTGCCCTCCTGTGCTGTCCTCCCCAGCTGGTTCAGGCCACACCAGCGAAGCGGTTCCCCCGCAAGACCAGGAACACCAGACCATGGAGACCTCATCTTAGATTCTGGCTCCAACTTTGCTCCTGATGTCCACACAGGACTGTGGGGTGAATGTCAGGTGTCCAGACCTCTATTCTGGCAACTGATACACCAAGAAAAAATAGGACATAAAAATGCCAAACGGCTCATCCTGGCTTCCCTGACCCAGCCGACAAGTCTACAGTTTTTAACTGAGGTTTTGTACAGCCAGGAGATAACGCCACCCCTCTCAGTGACCCTGAGTGCAGGGTGCACCAGTGTACCCTCCCAGGGCCATCGAAGTCAGTCTTTGGCTCCAGAGCTGAACTCAGCCCAGTTACTTACAGACTGCGTGAAAGGCTAAGGCAGGTAGAAAAGTTAAAAAAGAACTCCAATATAGTAGAGCCAGAACAGATGGGAAACCAGCTTGGGAGCAGATGAAGCAGCTCCACAGCACTGCTGACTGGAGAGCTCCAGGCTTATGTACTGTGGGAAATGAGAAAACACCAGATGCCGACCTGAGACAGATGCACTGTGGTGTCAGCTCATGACCAAGTCCCAGGGCCAGGTAAGAATTTACAGTCACCAACACCCAGTCTCATTTTCTTACTAGCTTTGATATTACTTGAGTTTCTCAGTCAACACAAACTCCTGGGATGCTAAACAAACAAAAAACAAGCAGTAACCCTAACCCTAAGTGCCATTTTCTGAGTACCAGCTATGTGCCAGGTTTCCAGGTGCAGGACTGTTGGACATTCACAGCTCCTCTGTGTGACTGTTCATGGCATCAAACCAAGGCCCTAGGAGGGCAGCAAGCTCAGGAGACCCTGGAGGCAGGTCCAGGTCTGCCTGACTCCAATCTGGGTTTGGCCTACCAGGCCACTCACCTCCGGTTAGCCACACTAATGGAGCAGATGGGAGACAGGGCAAGAAGTACCTGACACCTTCAGGGGTTAAATGAGGAGGGATGGCTCTTTTTGAATACTTCCATGCATGGATTCAGAACTAAACACGTGGACTGCCTTGTAGAATGATACTCAGTGGGAGAAGCTGTGATGGGGCCATTCACTGTAGCTGCAGTGAAGTGGACATCACAGCCTCCAGGGCAAGACATGAACCTCCCAGAACTAAGATGGGCAGCTGTCTTTGCTAGGAGAGACTTGTTCTCAATTTTCATGACTTGATCAAGTATGGTAAGGTTCACTAAATACAAGATCCTCAGATGGGCAGAGGGGTCACACTGCAGCCTTCAACCTCAGGCTGGGGGTCAGCAGGGAACCTGGAGCTGCTGCCAGGAAGAGCCAGCGGCCGCAGCCACCTGCGATGCCCTCCTACATGCTAACTTCTGCAAAAAGGAGAAGCGTTTTGGTTTGCAGCATTTCTGGTTTAAGCCCAAGTTGAATGAACATCTATTCCCCTACCCCAATATTTGGTAAAATATAGCTCCTTAACTTACTTGTAACAGTACTTTCTACTTTTTAGTCTTACACTTAGAATATAAGTGATTAGTTTGTTTCACCAAATTTTAATCCTGAAATTCCAAGAGTGTATTTAAATCAGTACCTTCCAAAAGAGAATGCTGCAGTGCCGACAGAAATGCAGCGTGTCTCCGTACTGCTCCTTCGCCGGGTAATGTTTCCGAAGTGCAAAGTACATCAACTTCCATTCAATATGACCTTTTTCTGAAAGGATCAAATGTCTACAAAACTAAACAAACAAAACCCCATTCAGAATCAGCATAAGATGACTTTCAAAGCATAATATTAGGTGTAAAACTTTTTCATTTTATTTTAGTTTTTAATTTTTTTTAACTTCAATAGCTTTAGCGGTACAGGTGGGCTTTGGTTACATGGATGAACCGTACAGTGCTGAAGTGTGGGATTTTCGTGCTCCCATCAGTGCAGAAGTAAGCATTGACCCACCATGTAGTGTTTCATCCCTCACCCTCCTACCCTTCCCTCTTCTGAGTCTCTACTGTGTATTCTACCGCTCTGAATGCCTTTGTGTACCCATGGCTTAGCTCCTACTTATAAGTGAGAACATAAGGTATTTGGTTTTCCATTCCTAAGTTATTTTACTTAGAATAATGGCCTCCAGTTCTATCTGAAATTATTTTTCAAAGGCAGTGTAGTACATAAAACAATTATTTGAAATTAAACTCACTTGGATTAAATCAATGAGTGACAAATCAAATAAATTATGCTATGCCTGTATAATGGAATACCAAGCAGCTGTTAAACAGACTTAAATATTCCAATCCAGAATAATGTCCATAATATATTAAATTAAAATAAGCTACACACATATTTGATAATGGACTTATATCTAGAATACATAAAGAACACTTAAAACTCAATAATAAAAAGACAACCCAATTTTAAAAAATGGGCAAAGGACTTGCAAAGACATTTATCTAAAGAAGTCACAGAAATGGATGATAACCTCATGAAAAGATGCTCAGAATCCAGTCATCAGGGAAATGGAATGAGACCCACTTCACGCCCACTAGAATGGCTTTAATCAAAAAGTGAAATAATGAGCAGCATTGGGGAGGGGTGGCGAATCGAGAGACCTCACACTGCTGGGAGAATGTGAAATGGCGCAGCCACTTTGCAAAACAATCCGGCAATTCCTCAAAAAGTTAAACAGAATCCACCATATGACTCAGTCATTCTACTCCTAGGTTTATAACCAAGAGAAATGAAAACATGCATCTACACACAAACTCGAACATGTTCAAGACAGCATTATTTGTAAAAGCCACAAACTTTTATCAAACAAACTAAATGTCAATCAACTGATGAATGGATAAACAAAATGTGGATACAGAGAGTAGGATATTACTCAATCTTGAATGAAGCTCTGATTTATTCTACAACATGGAGTCGTCAGGACATCATGCAAAGGGTAAGAAGCCAGTCACAAGACAACAAATGCCATAGATTCTTCTTCTATTACACGTCCAGAACAGGGAAACACAGAGACAGAAAGACAATCAGGGGTTGCTTAGGGCTGGGAATGGTAGCTGAAGGGCAGAGTTTTTTTTGTTTTTTTGTTTTGTTTCCTGAGGTGATGCTGATGTTTTGGCTGTGTCCCCCGCCAAATCTTGAACTGTAGTTCCCATAATTCCCATGTGCCGTGGGAGGGAGCCGGTGGGAGGTAACTGAACCATGGGGGCAGGTCTTTTCCATGCTGTTCTTGTGATAGTGAGTAAGTCTCACCAGACCTGATGGTTTTATAAAGGGCAGTTCTCCTGCACACGTTCTCTTGCCTGCCGCCCTGTAAGATGTGGCTTTGCTCCTCCTTTGCCTTCCACCAGCATTGTGAGGCCTCCCCAGCCATGTCAAACTGTGAGTCTTTAAAAATTACCCAGTCTCGGATATGTCTTTTATTGGCAGCGGAGAATGGACTAATACAGATGTCAGTATCCTAACATTGACTGTAGTGATGGCTGATAAAGTGGAGGGTATCTTAATAAAGGTGTTACCAAAAACATCAGTGTTACAGAGTGACCTTCAATTACAGTTTTGAAAACGACCAGTGCACAGCTAGATAAATTAATGTGTATGTTTGAGTGCACATCAAAGCCTGAAATGAAACAAAATGCATGGGCTAAAGGAGTAACAGGGATGCCTTGGGGTGGGGGCCTTTAACTTGTTTGCACAACACTGTACTAGTCTTTAAGGCTGTTGCTGCAATGAGCATGTTTTACTTTTCATAGCTAAAAACAATCACTTGTATAACATACTCATACTTCAGTCATGGCTTTTGAGGACTCTGGAAATTATCATGGAGTCAATGAGGAAATCCTGTTTCTAATAAAATTTGAAAAGAAGACTACTTGCAAAATAAAAAGTAGTAGTAATCAGCCTGTTTATATTTAGTATTAATTTCTGTGTCCTCTAGGCAGGCACTGTTAAAACATTAGTTCCCAGAGACTAAAAACAACCATTTGTTGTCTCATTTCTACTTCTTACGAATTCTGTCCTATACCAGTGTTCACGGGGAGAATCCCCTCCCACGGTTTTTCTCCTAAATAATGATCTGTGATTTTTCTGAACTCAAATGCAACATCCCACCAGATGCTCCAGTCAAGAGCATTTAGCTGACTTTTCCTTCCATACTATCTTGAACCAGTCCGGTTTTCTCAGGTATCTAGTTTTTATTTTGGGGATGCTTCCTTATCTATGCTTTCTCATAAAAGCTATTTCTGATATGCTTTTTTTTTTTTTAGGGCCTTAATGTTAGTTACTGACGCCTGAAGAACAGATCATTATTTTCTGATGCTGTGTTTTTATGATTCAGATAAGAAAATGTGTACAAATGAGATGCACCTGCAGGTGCTAATTGCAACTTAACTATTCTAGGATATCAGTGCAGAACAGACGTTTAACTTATTTAAAGCAACTCTTTTAAGAATGGCAATGACCACAGAAATGGCCAAAAGACATCCTTAAGTATGTTTAGGGTCTGGATGTATAAACACCTGCCAGGCACTCTCATTAACGCCTTTTGGGAACAGCTCGGGCCTGCACGTGATAGGGAGTGTCCCAGGGCAAACTGGGAGGCAGAGGGTTCATCCCAGATGACCTTCATTTACCTCTTTTCCTAGGATCTAAATCCTCCCCACAAAAGTCTATCCACCCCCTCCCCCATGCCCAGTGCTGACTTAAAATTTGATCCACTGATTTCTCCTACTCAAATTAATATTGGAATTCTTTTGCTTCTCCCGAACAACTCCACTTGAGACAGTTCTCCCCAAGGTATCCATAACCTCTGCTCAGCTAAATCTCACAGGCTTTTCTTTGTCCTATTAATCTCTCTGTCCATGGCTTTGAGGGTCCAGCTCCCCGTAGGTTCTGAGGCACTTCATCTATCACTCAGCATTGGGGTTGGTGCCCTCACGCCCTGCTCAGGCTGATCCCATTGCCTCCTGTCCTCTCCATATGCATCTGTCCAGGCCCTCGCTCCACATGCCTCTCAGACACACTCCATGAGGCCCGTGTTCAGGCCAGCCCCTTCCTGTGGGAGCCCCCATCCCATCCCATCCCATCCCATCCCATCCCATCAGGGTCATCTTCTGATGTCTTCCCTGTTGCCCTCGTGCACTTCCTTGCCCATAACTCTTATTTTCCTGAGGCAGGATCCTGATGGATCCTCTTGTATCCACTCCAGCCTAGTCCTCAAACAAGAACAGAAGCTCTTCTGAAAGCTGCAATTCCATGTGCTTTGCTGGCTCCCCTGAGCTCACAGGACACAGACAAAGATTCTTCATGTGGCTTGGCCTCTGCTGTGCTTCCTCACCATCCACCACTCACACACACAGCACCCTCCCCATGGTAGGGTCCTGCTCTCTGCCTAGGCCCTGTCCACTGCCCTGCACTCCAAGAGTAGACTGTGCTCCTCATGAAAGGCACCCAGTCCCATCCTAGGTCTTCACAGTGCTGACCACAGTTCCAATCCCACCCCATGAGGGGCACAACGCGCCTCCCTCCAGCCACCTGACTTCCCTGGCTGCGCCCAGCCCCAGGCAGAGCAGGTGCCTTGGACATCTGTGGGGTGATGAGGGGAACCCCCAGTTTCTGCAGAGGCCCAGGAACAGGGACCACAAGGTCTCATTGTGGATGCGGAATGAGCAGACCACCCTGGAAAGGCCTCGAGCACTGACAGCAGAACACACCTTATGCTGCCCCACGTGCAATCCCACGTGCAGCAGGCAAAAGGCAGTGGCGGGGCGCGCTGTGGACACTCAGGAGTGCCATCTACCAAGTGCTGAGACCACTGAGGCACACAGAGGGCGCCTGACTTTTCAAAGATGTGCAGCTTGGTCAAAAGCAGAACTGGAATCTGATTCATCAAATCAGGAGAAAAGGCAGTCAGTGAGCCAGGGACTCTACGCACCTCGTTATCAACGGGAGAGAAAAGAACTCAGCTCATGCTTTGCTGTTCAGTTTTGGGTTATTTTAGAATCATGGTTCTTTTTCAACAGGAAAAATAAACTTTACATTCTGTAGGAGAGAAACCACAGCAATCTCAATAAATTCTGATTGTTCCTGGTTCTTTCAAAGTGGAAAACACTCAGCCATTCTTTCTCTTCAGGTGAGTTTATAGGGTATGGCCCCTAGGCAGAGTCTACTAAACTCCCTGCCTGAGGGGACACTGCTGCATCCCACTCACCTGCTTTTCAGCAAAATGATACTGACACAGCTTCTTCCACAGCTGTCTGTCTTCACTGAGCATATACAGCGTGGGGGTCACCTGGCCTAAGGTGATGATGTCCCATCCGTCTGAGAACCGGTAGAGGATGTTGTTCAGCATGTGCAGAGGAAGGTCACTGAGGGTGAGGCCATTGTTCACTTGCTGAAAGGAAAACACAACAGCATCTCACTGAGAAGATGGCCAGTGTTTGTTCACACAGTAACTGAAGAGTCAAGCTGGAATGAATGCTTCAAAACATGGCAACACAAAAGGAGCTCTCCAGGTCATGCATTGCAAGGCATCAAGGGGCCTGCATCCACCACCCTGGGGAGGGCTGGAGGAGGAGGGCCAGGGAGGGCTGCACAGCAGGCCAGAACCAGGCTGTTCCTGGGTGAGGCCCCACTGCTGCACCTCCCCATGCGCCACGTGTCTATCAGCATCAGGAGGTCAGTACTCCTCTACGGCATCGAGACACACCTGGAGAAGAGCAGGGTCTGCAGACGTGGCACTGCTGCCCAGATGAATCCAACGCACCATCAGGGCAACGTGACACCCATCACCAGCAGGGGGCACGGCCTGCGCCACACCATCTGGGTGGCCTGGACAGCCCCTGGGCCTTGATGGGTCACAGCTGGTCACCCCAGTGATGAGGGAGGTTGACCACATCATCTGCAAAGCCCCTTCTAGCTTTGTGGGTTTTTTCCCTTTATTGAGGTGTAAGTGATAAATGGACTCTGTCTATACTGGCAGCACGTGGTGTTCTGTGCTTGTATGCGTTATGAACCAATGGCCATAGCCCAGCTTGCTGTCTGTCACCTCAAGTCATAATCCTTTTATTTTGGTAGTGAGAACATTTAAGACCTACTCTTAGCAAATCTGAAGTGAAGGATGTATAATTATTAACTGCAGTCATCATGCTGTGTAGACAACCTCTAGAGTGGACTCCTCCTGCACTACAGAAACCTTTCACCCTCCGTCCAACATCCCCCAACCTTCCAGCTTTACATTTCTATGACTTCAAGTTTACAAACCATTTCTCCCTCACGCACACCAGAGAGTAAATGCAGTGCATCTGCCCTCAGAAGATACACGTGTGTGCACGCGCCAGGCTGAGGAAGGGTGGCTGTCCCTGGCCCCGAGAAGTGGGCTCAGTCAGTTCAAAAATTAAACTGCTCTGAGGTTGACCTGAGAAAGCCCTGGGTTGAGTGCATACTGTTTCAGACTTTTCAGGCCTCAGTTGTATCTAAATGATTCCCTTCATTCTCACTAGAAGCACCTCTTCCTGACAGTGGGGTTCTGGCTGTTTGGGCGGGACAGAGGCTACCTGGTCCCGCCTCGGTTCCTGACCTCAGTCTGCTCACCCGCGAGCTTCTGATTTGTGTTTTTCTTTTGTTCCCAATAGGTTGATATATGTACTTGGCCACAGGGAGAGTTAGCTTCCTTCTGATGTGTTGTGCCCTTCTATATTCCTGCTGCACACAAAGCACAGTGACCATCTATTTTTGGCTAGAATGAGCTAATTCCATGAGTTTGGTTCTAGAAATTGCCTGACCTCTGTGGACAGTGGAGTGTAGGGAGAGGTGACTGGGGCACCCGTGCCTTGACACCCCATTTTCTTCTCCTGCTCCCCTATAATGCCCTCGCGATGGAAGCAACTTCCTAGGACTTCAGAATGGACACTGCTGCAGGGTGCTTCTCCTGCATCCCAGTGGGCAGCATGAGGATGGACCACCAGTGATGCACTCTAAGCCGCCTTCACCTCATCAAGCACACTATGCATCTGCCAGACACGGGTGGGGCCTCAACACTGCCTGACAGTTTGTGAAGTGCTCTAACATTCTGGACATAATCATGAAGCTTCCATGGACTGCACCACTGCACCGTGTTGTAGGCTATGGAGCTGCACAGTCCAAGAGACATCACTTCCCCAGCAGCCAGCATGGTGCCGGCAGGCTCTCAGCAAACTTCTTTGTTCATTACTGATGAGTCTGACACATTTCATTCAAGTCTTAGCCTATCCTTCCATCTTCATTGTCTAGCATATGGCAGAGAGCACATAGAAAAGAGAAAATGGCCAGGCTGGGTGGCTCACACCTATAATCCCAGCAACACAGGAGACTGAGGTGGGAGGATCACCTGAGCCCAGGAGTTAAAGCCTGCAGTGAGCTATGACTGAACCACTGCCCTCCAGCCTGGGAGACAGAGCAAAACCCCATCTCAAAAACAAAAACAAAACAAAACAAAACGATAACGTGCATGTAAATTAATCCCCAACTAAAAGTCTAACACTCTCACAAGAATTATGTCTTCCAGGTGCTTCATTCTAATTCCTATTGAGAAAAATTTCTGTAGCAGACAGGAGTTTACAAATATTCTGCTGCTAAAATTACACAGTTTAAAGGGAGTATGAAGTGGTGGTATGAAGGTAGTACAAAGAAAAAAAATCCTGGATTAGTCGTTATAGAGTCTGGTGTGACAACTCGGCGTTTGGGATTTCTGGCAGAGTCCAGTTTTACAGCCCTGTTAATGGCTATAACAAGAGGGTGTAGCAGAAATGCCAGCACTTCTCATCCAAACGAAATCTCGAAATGTGACAAGGCACAAAAGTCTTGCTGAACATGTCAGAAATCCTGCTGCGTTTTTTGCCACACCTCCTCCACTGATTAGCTACATGCTCTCTGCCATTATGAAATCTCTCACACCTACACCGCAACGGAAGGAAGAAACGATGCTGCTGTCTGCTTCTCTTGCTTCAGGATAGTCTCAGCTATTGCATGCGACTGTTAACAATTCTCGTTTCTCTGTGGAAGCACTTCTGCTAACAGAAACTTGTGTTGCTATTATCATTCTATTTTACACAGAAAAAAAAAAAAGAGATACAGATGAGTTGACTGGCTTGCCCAAGGTCAGGGTCCAGCTTCGATCAGGGTTCAGCCTCGAGCCCAGTCTGCCTGGTCCCAAGTCTGTGTTCCCAACTGCTCTGCCCTTCTCCACGGGAGGCCCATCCCCTCACTATGTGGTGAGTAACTGAAGTCTCCCTCAATTCTTCTTTCCCTCGCACCCACTTCAAAGTCACCAGTCTAGTCTTTTGCTAAAGTATCCCCAAGTTCATCCTTCCCATTTAACTGTCATTCCTCATGAATGCAGTGAGGGTTTGCTTCCCTCCAACCTGGCTGGTCCCTGCCTGGCACTGAAGGGGTACCTCTAAACATGGACCTTTCAGTGACCCTTGGCAGAGAGCAGCAAACACTCTGCAATGCCCATAAAGCCCTGAGTCTGATCCTAATGCCCTGCACCTTCTTCCCAGCAGTACACACGTTTGGCACACCACACTCTATCAGCCCCTAGACGCAGAAGTTCCCACACCTTCTCACAGCAGCCAGCTCTGCAACTTCTGGGAATTTTGTTAGCCAGTTTACTTTTCGTTGGCGGCTTGAAGTCAGTCATAGTGGGAAAGTGACAAATGCTACAAATCAAACCTCTTGCCTCTGGAGAGCCAGTTGTTAAGCACTGACCAACAGGCCACCACCTGGACACTTTCCCCTCATTTTTTTTTTTTTTGAGATGGAGTCTCGCTCTGTCGCCCAGGCTGGAGTGCAACGGTGTGATCTCCATTCACTGCAACCTCCGCCTTCTGGGTTCAAGCGAATCTCCTGCCTCAGCCTCCCAAGTAGCTGGGACTACAGGTGCCCGCCACCACGCCTGGCTAATTTTTTGTATTTTTAGTAGGGACGGGGTTTCACTGTGTTAGCCAGGATGGTCTCTATCTCCTGACCTTGTGATCCACCCGCCTTGGCCTCCCAAAGTGCTGGGACTACTGGTGTGAGCCACCACACCCAGCCCATTCTTTAAGCTCCACCTAAAACATCACATCACTAGTGAACCAATGTAATGTCAACAGCACTGTGTGCATATCTGTTATAACCCACTGAGTTCTGTGACTCACCGTGGGCTCATCTCCCTGGGCCCTCGGACGCCCCACGCTAAAGGCCACGCCTGCTGATCCATGTGTCCCACCTCCAAGGGGCCTAGCAAGCCCATGGGGGCATCCAGGAAATGCTGGCTGGGTGAGGAAGCATATGAACACGTTCCTGTGTGTCCACTCTGACTGATCACAGAGATGTGCACATGAAAGCACTTCCAGTTCATCAGCACTGCCATATCTTCAAATGCAGCTTCAACAGCAAAGTATATTTGTTTTTCAAGAAAAAAATGTCTGATGTTCTTAGGAACTTTTCAACATAATATATACTAAATTTCTGCTTACTTTTGGGACTATGAGAATTTAGATTTAAGGGGTGTCGAGGTATTTCTTTTTTGAGATGGAGTTTCACTCTCGTTGCCCACGCTGGAGTGCAATGGCACGATCTCGGCTCACTGCAACCTCCGCCTCCCAGGTTCAAGCGATTCTCCTGCCTCAGCCTCCCGAGTAGCTGGGACTACAGGTGCCTGCCACCACGCCCGGCTACTTTTTGTATTTTTAGTAGAGACAGGGTTTCACCACGTTGGCCAGGCTGGTCTCCAACTCCTGACCTCAGGCAATCCACCCGCCTTGGCCTCCCAGAGTGGCTGGGATTACAGGTGTGGGCCACTGCGCCTGGCCAGGGGTGTCAAGGTATTTCTTGTTGGGATAATCTAGAAGACAAAGACGACTGTCAGCGCACTGGAGAAAGCTGGTCCCTGTATCCTGTGAGGCTGACATGGCAGAACTTTAGGCGGTGTGCTTGAAGTTCCACTGTCAGGGATCTGGGAAGGCTCTCAGCTGCTCTGTTCTAACCCCATCTGCTCGAGTCACCTCAAAATTCACATGAATAAGTGTGAGGTAGCAATCCAGCATCAGCCAGCGGGTCAGGAGACCAGATCTTTACCTTAAGCAGCCTCAGACCAATTTGGCTGACTGAGTCCGGCATCCACAAATGCAGCTCAGTTAACTGAGTTGGTAAAGTGCTCTTTCTACTGGTTTCAAGTAACATTCCCAGAGAGCTAAACCTCCTCTGGCCAACTCCTACAAGGGAACCTGACCCTCCTCGAGGCTGGAAGCAGGGCACAGGGTCCAGAAGCCAAGATCCTCACAGAGGCACATGCCACGTTTCCTGCTTCAGAGAGCACTCGGGGACTGAGGTGAAGAGATGCCAGGCAGCATGCAACCACTAATGAAACAAAAGAAACCAGTTCAAGGTCTTTGATGGTAAGATTTGAGTGGACATGACGAAAACTGGCAGCTTTGTGTTATCGGTGCTTTCTTATTCCTCAAAGATAAATCATTAATTTCATTCTTGTGCCTTATTTTTCCCACTTGATCAACATGGCACTACGCTAACACCTAACCTTCTGTGCTGAGGCAGAGAGGTACTGCCGTGGGAGTGTGCTCTGCCTACCAGGGCTGTGGGAACCATCCCAGGCCAAAAGCAGAGTGTCTTCCTTCACAGGCTATGGGCAGCCCTGAGTGGGCCAAGCTGGGGCCACATGCACTTCTGTTATCCCTCAGCCCGTGCCTCTTCCCAGGTAGTATGAATGGAAAGAAGATCCAGAAGGAAGCTCAGCATACAGCTGTGCCTTCCTGCTGTGTCTCAGCCCACCCAGTCAAAGATGCAAGCTTCTCCCTTGCTTTCTCCTTTCTCTCCTCTTGGTGAGGTGTGGCCCAATCCTTGGAGCTTTGTTGTTGTCTCCACTGGTCCACATCTCCCCACTGGCTCCCCATCTCTCTCCAAAGAATGGAGAGCCACTAATCCCACCTGGAACTTCCCAGCCAGACCAGAAAGGCTGCTTCCTGGCCTTTCCCGAACACCCCCATCCTTGGGATCCTGACCATGAAAACCCACCATGGACAAGGACACACCCTGTTCTCTCTCCCGAGAAGAGTCACCCGCTGGACATCACTACCATGGATCCTTCTCATCAGGAGAAGGTCACCGCTGGACATCACTACCAGGGATCTATCTCATCAGGAGAAGGTCACCCGCTGGACATCACTACCAGGATCTATCTCATCAGGAGAAGGTCACCCCGCTGGACATCTACCAGGGATCTACTCCATCAGGGAGAACGGCTCACCCGACTGGGACATCACTACCAGGGATCTATCTCATCAGGAGGAGGTCACCCGCTGGACATCCTACCAGGATCTATCTCATTCCAGGAGGAAGGTCACCGCTGGACATCACTACCAGGGAATCTATCTTCACAGGAGAAGGTACCGCTGGACTCATACCATGGATCTATCTCATCCAGGAGGAAGGCACCCGCTGGACATTCCACTACAATGGATCTATCTCATCAGGAGAAGGTCACCCGCTGGACATCACCTACCATGGATCTATCTCATCAGGAGAAAGGGGACTTTGGCCATGTGACCTGGTCACTCATGTCAGGACTTCTACAGCAAGCCTGTGCCATGCGTGTCTTACAGGCGGACTTTTAGTACAACTCACCTATGCATGGGGGAACGCAGTAAAAGAGGCAGCCAAGAGCCAGCCTGTGCAACGCTCTGAACGACTACAGGGTCACACCAAGACAACCGAGCAGGGTCCAACGTTTATAACAAACTTGCTTAACTCTTACCGACGCTGAATGTTACATTATTAATGATAATTTCAGACTCAAAACTAGGCAATCATCACTCTTTTTGTAAGTCCCACATTTAGATGGCAAATAAACAGCCAAAAGTTAAGGCATTTGAAGGGCACTTGAAAACCATTCCTTTATGTGGAACCTGGGGTGCTATGATAAAAGGCTAACTATGACCCTACCAGTACAATCTGCAGAATCATTTATACCACTAAGGCTACATAAGTCACACCACTAAGATACATCTTCAGTTTATTCTTTTTCTTATTAGTACTAGAGTTAAATAAAACACTATGTAAATACCTGGGGCAATGGTGTTAACATTTTTCTTGTTGAAACTAGTTACCAAAATTAAGAAAAACTATCAAACACAACTGATGTGATTTGCACCTTCTTTTGGCCTTGTTCATTGTTGCCAAGAACTATAAACACATCCCCAAAAAAGATAGCAAGGAAGAAGACAAAAAATTACTAACTTGGGAGAAGCAACAACGAAATAAATAGAGAATTACTGGCAATACAATTTAGCCTTAATTCACCGAATGTTATTCTAATAACTGAAATATTCAATTTCCCATGAAGGTAAATCTGTTTACATCTAATCACCCACAGGATCAGCCTGGTTTAATGATTGCTATTCCCACTGCCTTTCCAATAGCAATTATAAGCCATTAGGGGTCTTTGGTCCTTTTCTATTTTAAAACAATTTAATGAATACTTATGAAAGCATCAGAAAATCTTTCAAAAAGCTATAGCAGTCTTTCATGTATGCTTAGAAAAGATAACAACTTTTGTAACACAAAGAGTGTAGTAACTCTTATGCCGATATATTTATACCTTAGTCATCTGAAGATCCTGTAGCTGTTGTTGCCAGGCGAGAATAGTTTCTAATCGGCAAATCCAAATATTGATGTTTCCCACTAATACAGACTTCCCTACTCCTCTAATAAGAATGCAGAGGGTAGAGCTTAGGTCTTGCAGAAGATCTTTGATTAAGCGAGGATTGTGGTGGTCATCAAGAACTGGAATAAATAAAAATAAAACTATGGATTGACACACTCAAGCAACACTTTAAAAAACAATCTGGTTTCACAACCCAAATGTCCACCGATAGATGAACAAACAACGTGTGATCTATACATGAATAGAATATTACTCAGTCTAAAACAGGAGGGAAATTCTGACACACAGCATGGATGAACCCTGAAGACATTATGCAAAGTGAAATAAGCTAGTTACAAAAGGACAAATATATAACTCCACTTATATGAGGCACCTAGAGTAGTCCAATTCATAGAGACAGAAAGTAGAATGATAATTACCAGGGGCTGGCAGGGAGGAGGAATGGGGCCTCAGTGTTTAAGGAGACAAGAGTTTCATTTTGGGACAATGAAGAGGTTCTGGAGATGAATGGTTGTGATGGGTGCCCAATAATATACACGTACTTATGCCACTGAACTGGATGCTTAAAAACTGCTAAAATGGTAAATTTTATGTTATGTGTATTTTAGCACAATAAAAAAGATGTAATTTCACTGCAACCGAAAAGTGACATCATTTTTGAGATATCACAAATTTAATGAGATTTTTCAAAACTTTAAAATTTTATCTGATAAATTTTCAGTTGGGTCTACAATTTTGCCTTTAAAATGGTCAGTTTATACTTTCTTTTGTACTTATCATAAAGTGGCTACTTTAAAGTGGCTTAAATATGGAGTCATATATTCCTATGTATGTATAAAGTCATGGTGTAAAATTTAAAATTCCACTTACTAACAGCCAGTAACTTACCAAGGCAAGCTCATTAAATTAAAAAGAAAATTACTGGCTTATCTGATGCCTAAGTGAGTAAGTCACAATCCTGCTAATTTTGGAAGCATACATCTAAAATGAACTGTGATTAGCTAACCATGAAAAGGTAAAACAGCTTTTTAAGTTCTGGGATTAGTTATTTTTCCTAGTATATTGCTTTGTATGCAAAAGCAACTTTAAAAAAGTAAACAGCAGTAACAGAACACTGGGAACTAGAGGGATGACCTGTATTTCTGATGTTATCACATTATTTACACAACTGTTTTTGACAGCATGTGTACTAGGTAAAGATAGAAGAAAAATCCCATCTCGTTGCACTAAATTTCTAATTAAGATTTAGAGTATTAAAAATACAGTGATCATCTTACCCTTTTGAACGATTTTATCCAAAATGTTGAAGTAATTCTTTTGTGCCACACCACTCAATGAAGTTAACTGGGATTTTGCAATTAGCTGCAATAGCTTAAAGGAAAGACAAAAAAAAAGCTGAGCAATATATAAATCTATTTAATATGGAATTACAAACCACGGCGATATAACACACATGCATGAAGATTTCTAACATGCCATCCTAAATTAAGCCACTGTATCAGAGTCCGGGTACAGGAAACAGTCACTACCCGTGCAAACCTGAAGAGACCTTCGTACAAGGGAGCTGAGGCAGCCGCGGCCTGCAACTCTGTCTTCTAGTCTTGTAGGCATTCATTTACTTAGTGGAAGCATATCTCCTCCCAGAGCCCAGGCTGCAAGAGTCTGAAACGGAGCTTTTAGCTTTCCAGTCTCTGTAGCACAAGGGCATACCAGAAAGAGGCTAGAATGAATGGTTGGGCACTAACAAATATTTTCACAGCCTAAGCCCATACTCGCAGTTGTTTGCTGAACAGACAATCAGAAAATCAAACAGCCCTTCCATGTAGAAATTAAAAAGGAAAAACATCACCAAACTCATTATTAAATAGCATTTTGTATTTAAAAACTCATTATTAAATAGCATTTTGTATTTAAAAACTCATTATTAAAAAGCAAATAAATTGCATTAAAATAAAATACTGTAGAATTTGTATTCTAGGAAGCCACAGTAACAAATCCCTGTGACAGAACCTGTGAAGTAGAGGTCTCCTGTGGGAATGACAAGCAAGGCCCTTGCCGCTGCTCTGCTTGCCCTCCTGGGATGCTCTGCTCTTCCAGTTGCCCCTACTCTGATGTGCATTATGGCAGGAAAACGTGGGCTGCTGCTTTCCTTTAATGCTTTTTGTCCCACTTTATTTTTTATTTTTGCCTAATACATCTTTTCATTCTTGTATTTTCAACTTTTGTAAATCACTGTTTTAGGTGTGCTTCTTACATACAACTTCGAGTTGGGTTTCACTTTTTGATCCAATCTGAAATCTTTTACCAGCCTTCAGGTTATGTGTATAAGGTTATGTGTTTACATGTATAGATACAACATGTTTGGTCTTAACTTTATGACATGTTTTTGTAGCTTTTTTTGAAAAAGTTTTCATTCTCTCTGTAGTTCTTCTGAAACTTAGAAATGCTTGCACTATTTTGTCCTAGGGGTTACTTTTGGAATTTTAACTCTACGTAATTCCCTCTCCTTTGGAATCCTCATACAACACATCTTCGCGTTGTTAGTTTCCTGTTCCACATTGTGATAAAACTGCCATTCATCTTGCTCCTTCCTTCCATCCCTCTCCTGTACAACTTGATTTTCGTGAACGACACCTTAGTGCCTCCCTGTGATTACAGGTGAGACAGTCAACAAATCTCTAACCACCGACCTTTTCTCCTCTGCCCTCCGCTCACACTGCTCCACCACCCTCAGCCACACAGCTGATGCTGTAGAGATTCACTGACATCCAGTCTGATGGATGTTGTTTCTCCAGCCAAAAATGCTCATGAGAACAGTAAGTATTCCCTGAGTTCTCACATGATCAATACTGTTTGTTTGCAGCCTGGCAGCCAGACAGTTTGACTGGACGTAAAATTTATGGGCCATCCTTTCTTCCTGGAGGATCCCGTAAGTAAGGATGACTCCACTATCTGAAGAATTTGGAGAAATCTGAAGCCACCCTGATCTCTTCCCTTGGTAAGAGACGACACGTTGTTTACCCATTGGGAGGTTCTTGCCTCATCTTCAGAGTTTAATAATTCCTGTAGGATGTGGCACACTCATGACCTGTTCTCAGTCAACCTTCCCCAGCATAAAATTTGCCCTCTCACAATGTACGCTTCCATCTATTTTTACCTGAGCAGAATTTTCCTGAACATTATCTTTAAATATTTGTTCTGTCCTTTGCTTTGTTTTCCTGCTTGAAGATTCCAATGATAAATATGCTGGAACCCCTCTCCCTATTCTCTACAGCTGTAATTTTCTTTCTAGTTCCTCTTAAACTCATGCTTATGGTTTCATTCTTATTAATTTTCTCATTCGTACTATTTCCATCACCTTTTTTTGTGTTTCCCAAAACATCTGTTTTCTCCTGGGCCCTTCCAATCCCACCTTCGCCTCTGTGGTGGTTCTCCTGGCAGATGCCATCCTTCCTTCTGCCAACTTGGCTTTGTCTCCTGCTGTCTCACTTGGTTATACAGGTTGAGCATCCCTAATTCCAAAATCCAGAATCCTCCAAACTCTGGAACTTTTTGAGCACTGACAAGTGGAAAATTCCATACTTGACCTCAGGTGATGGGGCTGCACAAAATTATTAAAAATACTATATAAAATTACCTTCAGGTTATGTATATAAGGTGTATGTGAAACATACATGAATTCTAAATTTAGACTTGTATCCCAGCCCCAAGATATCTCATAATGTATACATAAATATTCCAAAATCTGAAAAAATCCAAAATCGAAAACACTTCCAGTTCTAAGCATTTGGGATATGGGATACTCAACCTCATTAAAATCTCTTTTCTGTTTTGTGGCATTCCTGCACTGGGATCTTCTGCTACAGAACTGCTTCGTGAGTTTCCTGGTTTTTTTTTTTTTATTCATGATTAACTGTCTGGTCATGATTCCATCCTGCTTCACAGACACATTTCCCACAATTTCCTTAGAGAATATCCATGCAGTGACATCACCTTCTTCTCTAACAGGCATTTCAGAGTGAGGTGGGACTTCCTAGGGTGTCTGTTTTGCAGAGGCCCTCAGGGTAGGGGGAACGGCAGCTTTCAGCCTTCCCAGTTCCAGCACTCTGTCCCCCAGCTGCTACCTGCATGTACGTGAATCCCTGGGTGACCCCACAGCCCATGTCTCTGAGTAAAACTGGATCCGGGAAGCCCTTTGCTGTCAGTGGTCCTCCCTGGAACTTCTGCACTCTGCAAGCTGGAGCTGAACATCTGTGACTCAGGCTCTCAGTGCACAGGGCATGTGGGGCTCATCTTCTAGACTGGGCCCTGACAAGTGCTTTTGTTAGCCTGAGCCCTTCTGCTCAGTTCTGCCTATACTATCGCTGCCCAAGCTTAGCTACTTTTGGTAAGCTTCATGCACATTTTAGAGTCTGTGAATTGCATCTGCCTCTTATTTCTCTGAAAATGGAGTTTTTCATCCCTTCCTTCCAATTCTTCCAGCCTTTCTTGATTTCCAGAATGAGCAATCACTAAGTCATATGCTCAGTCCCAAATAACATTATAAATGTGACAATTACATGATAATCTTTGGGGGAAAAACATTCTGTGATTTCTAACATATTTACATAAAAATATCTTACACTAAATTACACCAGTTGAGGGCACTGGCCAGAGATAAGATCAGGTTACGCCAAGCAAAGCTGAGAAGACCATTGTTAAAATTTCAATCCTGTTCCTTTATCTTTTCAAATTAACTGAATGTTGTTATTGAATTTCTTCCTTGTTTTAATGTTGAATAGCACCCCTTTTCCCTGCCTCACTTTAGAATCAATTTAGAGACAAAAGATTCAGGCCAACTGAGGTTATCAGCATTATTGCTCATAATAGCTGGACTGGCGGATGCGATTCAGATTCACACAGCAATGGATTTCCTAATCTGAATCCTAGACTGAGATGATGCCAGCAAGCCCTAAGCATTGCTTAATAACCAAAGCCTCCCCAGATAGGCTTCTTGCCCTACAACACTGAAGACATGAAAGAAACAGACCAAAATGTACAAGTATCTTTTATTCCTCAAAGGAAGAAAGAAGAGTTACACGTGTCTGTTTCTCACCAGTAAGAGGGGTCAGGGCAGAGGGAGTCTGGGAGAGACAGTTCTACCACCACGGTTCCCAAAGCATCGTCTAGGGGCCTCTTAAGGGAGCCCAAGGTCTAAACTATTTCCACAGTTTCACTAAGATAGGATTTTCCTTTTCTACCCTGACATTCATTAGTGTGCAGTGAAGTGCTCCAGAGGCCTCAAGATGCTACCGTACAGAAGACTGAACTCAGGAGCAGAGATGAGGAATAATCCCCTCCATCACATCAGACACCAGGAGGGTGTGCCAAGGTGTGAGATAGTCCTGTTTTTTTTTGTTGTTTTTTTTTTAAGACGGAGTTTCACTCTTGTCTCCTAGGCTGGAGTGCAATGGCACGATCTCGGCTTACTGAACCTCTGCTTCCTGGGTTCAAGCGATTCTCCAGCCTCAGCTTCCCAAGTAGCTGGGATTACAGGTGCCGCCACCACGCCAGGCTAATTTCTGTATTTTCAGTAGAGACAGGTTTCACCATGTTGGCCAGGCTGGTCTCAAACTCCTGATCTCAGGTGATCCGTGGGATTACAGGCGTGAGCCACTGCACCCAGCCCAATCGTTACTTTTAAATAAATGCAGAAATATTTTACAAATTGTTTTAATTTCTAATGTGGCAAACATTGATAGATATAACTCACATGACCCAAATCTCTTTGGGGTCCTCAGTAATTTTAAAAAGTGAAAAGGACCCTTGAGACATTTGGTTTTGGAACTGCTGCTCCACTAGGGGAGGAAATACCAGGAACAGAGAATACGTGTCCCCTGGGAGATAAGCCTCCCCGACCACCTCCCCTCCCATCATCGAAGTATGTTTTCTACATTTCTCTAATATCATGTTTTAAAATTCCTTTTAAAAAGACTGAACTCATCAGCAGAAGGCATGGGATTAGCCTTCTGATCCTTTAGAAGCACGGTCAGTTTAGACTAGTTACACACACAGGACTACAAAATGGACACCACCAGGCATACGTAAGCATAGAGGTGAGAAGGGCCGTGGTGTTCATAGTTGAAAAGATTGCATTTCCGGTTAAAATGGTAATTAAGATAACAGGGCAAAAGACATTTAACAAAGAAACCATCATCATTCACAAGCCTCTAATTAGCTATAAAGCAAAGTCTGTTGGGAATTTAATGAATATTTGTTAAAAACACAAATACTGTAGGAAGTTTTTTATACAGTCATGGGTCGCTTAACAAGGGGGTTACAATCTGAGAAACGCATTGTTGGTAATTTCGTCACTGTGTGAACATCACAGA